CTAGATTTCCTTAGACTCTCGTCTCTGCCTAACAGGTTTGCACGGGGGTAAGTTGTTTGTCTCGATTGGGTGAGGTTTCTTGGGATTTTAAAACCTTCTTTCCGCTTCCGCATGATTCCTTCAGCTTTTTCCCATTATACAGAAATTATGGCTATTGGTCTTTTTTAAAAAAGAAAGAAAAGAAAAAGAGTAGTTATTTAGCAGCCCCATGGCTGCTCCTTTCTCCGAAGTAGACCTTTGCCGAGTCAAGTGAGAACAAGGAGCGTTTGTCTTGTGGTTTGTTTGCCCGCCTGACTTCTTCCCCGATTGGGACTTTAGAAGATTAGGCTGGGTGCCTCTGGAAGGCAGCCTTCTGACGGCCGCTCCACTGACTCGACCACGCGAACTCCACGATTCACGTGGTGTTCAGAACCAGTGGCCGTGTTCCCACGACCCACTGAAGCCCGAACCAGCCAACCCCATTTGAGACTAGGGCCGTGAGAATCCAACCTGCGTGGTGAGTTGATGGCTCAGCGAGTCGTGCGAATGCAGGCGATTGGGTTAATTGAGTAAACCCCGGTTCATTCCTGCCAGCGCAGTCAATATGGGTTGGTGGGGGAAGGGAAGACGAGTATTGGGGAGAGGGAATAAGGCGCCTCAAAAAGGACAAGAGGAGGCCACTATGATTTCAGTAGCAAGGGAGAGTCGTTTGCTCAAGAGCTGCTACTTCTCTAACAGTTCTATTAAGTCTTACATTGCTGGTTCGCATTGCCAGCTCCAATCCTGTGTAGCCCCACTGTAAAAGAATCCTCCGAGAGCCGGTGTGTAAGTGTAGGGGGGGGGGTGTATGTGCGCGTAGGTGCAGGCGCGCTGGTGTGTATGGAGCATGTTTACAGCTTTCTCATAGCTTCAATGCTCTGCGAATGTATTTAAGGTAAATCCTACCGAGTCGTGCTTTTTTAAAAAAAAAAAAATTTTTAGGCATCCTTAATATCTGGCTGTAAATGCCACTAGATTTTTTCTCCCAGCCAAATCTGTTTAGAGACGGGGTGTTGAAAGAAGGGCGAGCTGCCATTCCGGAGCCTCTTTTTTACTTCTTAAATTTTCAATTATCTCCTGCTTTCCCATCCACCCCGCCCTGCCCCACCCACTCAGGTGCTTTGAAGATGCTGAAATCTCGGTTCCTCTTCTTAAACTGCATTTCCTTTCTACCCCTCGTTCGAGACTTCTGAGTGGGAAGTCGCCGCCACTTATTCCAGCAGCCTTTTGCCCATATTCTCCTCCTGTCCCAGAAACCTTTTCTCCGCTGTTAGGCGAAAGTTAAAGGCCTCTTCTTATGGAGGAGGTCACCAGGCCAGGTGGCAGAGAATCGGGTTGCTAAAACAAGTTCAACAGATTGCAGAAGTGTTGTTGTTTTTTTTAAAAAAAATATATTATTTTTGTGGTCAGAAAGTTCAGTGCATCTGGCTCGGACAAAATCAGTAGGCCTGGATCGCCTTCTCTTCCCCGCTCCCGCACCCCCAATTTCAGAGGAAATTTATGGAATGCTTTTAAGGAAACAATTGGTACGCAAGAACTACCCCGATTCTCCAGGGCAATTTTGCCTTCCGTTTCAATGGAAGACCCATCCACCCCCCACCCCCCACGAAACACTGAACCTTCTTTGGGACGTTCCTGGATCCAGAGTTCTGGGTTTAAGAAAGAGGCCTTTCGATCCGGATGGGGAAGAGGCTAGAGTGGGATATAAAGAAGCTGCGGATGGGCAGCAGGAAAAATTGTGCTCTAGAGAAGTCTTATATGTTCTAGTCGCCTGGCAGGGTTGCCCTAATCTGCCATTCCTTTAATGGGTCCCGTGCTGCCCCTCTGCCCCTCCCGGACTGGCAGTCTGTGAATCTGCTTAATGGGTAGAATCTGAACCTCACCGAATTTTTGCTATCCAAGGCCCAGTGCAGAGAACGTCCTGCATTGGCTCTTGCTGACCTGAAAAAAGAGCCCTTTTCTAAAAGAAGCAAATTCTATTGTTTCTCCCTCGCCCCCTCCCCCCTCCCCCCCACCTTCTAAAGAGGTTTAGCCAGGTGGGGAGCAAACAGAGGGGAAAGGTGCACATATTTTGCTTTTATTTCCACCCCAGTAGTGGTGATGGGGGGGGGGAATGAGAGGTTATGACTGGCTCCACTGATTTAAATGAACTAACCGGATATATTACCTAGAACAGCCTTCTATTTTGGAAGAAATAGACTGCTTTTGGCAGTGGAGTGTGGTGCGGTAGGGCTGGAGGGAGTGTGTGTTACTCGCGGCTGGATGGGTCAATCAGAAACCAGTTGAGGTGAAATAAACCAACAATATTGCATGAAACCGGTGAAAAGCAGAGGTGCAAAGCATTGTAAGTCTTACAAGCAGGGAGTGATTTCCTAATTTCATTAGCATGAGATTTGTGTCTTGCATCATCTTGATCCCATAGTTATATTTGTCTAGCACTGAGGCCTATCCATCGCAGCGGCAGCGGCAGCCAGCGTGCTGTGAAGCCTCTCTTCCCTGGGCTGGTGGCTTTGCGGTCCCCATTTTCTCTGTGGCTCATTTGGTTTTCAACATTATTCTTCACCAGGAAAACTTGGGGGACGGGATAGCTGGCTCATCCACAGAGGTGGATACCCTCGATTTAAATGCTCAATAGCGTTTACCCCCTAATACAAATCAGAACCAGTCAGTGAACCCCACAACCAGCTGTACCTCAGAATTCTCTTCCATTCTTTCTAGCATTATAATTTTGGTTAATTTTCAATTTTAGGTCCTATGTCTCTGCAATTTGTGTATGAATAACAGAATAATTTCCCTCTTTTGTTTCGCCTTTCCTGTTCCTGAATCTAAATAAAGATGGCTTTTTAGTATTAAAAGTGGAAGAAAATTACAGGTAATTATCTTTGACGGTAAAAACGCTGTAATCAGCGGGCTACATGAAAAATTACTCTAATTATGGCTGCATTTAAGAGAATGGGGGGAAAAAACCTTCTTATGGATAAAAACCTTAAATTGTCCCCAATGTCTGCTTCAAATTGGATGGCACTGCAGCTGGGGGCTTTGTTCACAGTTGATCCTGGGGAGAGCTGAACCCGAAGTTTCACAGTAGGCACGGGGAGGGGGAGAAAAAAAGAAAAGAAAAACATTTTCCCCCCCTCCAAATGTAACAATGCGAATGGTAGAAAATGACAAGACTTGATCGGTTTTAAGCCATTCTGAAGACTGACTGAGCATGGAAGTTACTCAACAAAAAACCGGCGCTGGTATATTGGTAAGTAGTCTTGGCTTTTGTGTCTAATTATAGTGACTGTCCTTTTGCACAACTGTATGTAGCTGTCATTATATTCAGCACTCCGAGAATCTCCATTGACTTCTGATAAATGGCTCAGTGGTTTCAAGGTTCATAATTTGAAGGATGCCCAGGGCTCTAGCCATTAATTCTCTCAGTATGGGGCATCCTGCTTGTGTGACGAAAGGGGCTTTTCATGATGGATGATTTCTCGCTTTGGCACCACCTCGCAAGGATATCATTCGCGGCAGCCCTTGCCTGGAGAAGCCGGGAGCGCTCTGCCAGACCCGAAGAATCGGAGGCAGCTTATATCTATCTGTCTGAGGAACGGCCCGCCACAGGGCCACCCCTCTGCTCACCAAGGCAGCCGACCTTGGCGTGTTTGGGGCGGGGGCGGAAGGGGGGGGGGTGAGAACCGGGTAGAACTGCCGAAAGTCCTGAGACGGGTGGCCCCTCATGTCGACAAAGGCGCGAGACTCCAGGCGGTTTCAGTTCAGCCCAAGGCTCTCCTGGAGGATAATCTGGGTTGGGAGGGTGGCGGCACTTTAAATCAACCCTCGGTGGATTCAGACAGGATTCCTACAGGGAACAATCTTCATCGGTTAGAGTGGGCAGATAGGAAAGTCGGGCGGTTCCTAAAGAGGCACTATTTTATGACTGGTTTGTGCGTGGATACGCTTGTGTGTATCTGCCTCCCCACTGACCGGCACCTGCTAAGTGGGAAACTTCCCTTAGACTGGACTCTTCTGGTGCTGTTCCGCTCCTGGGGAGCTGTATAAAAAAAGGCTTTCCTGCTCTGGAGAACTCCACCTAAGCCGAGGATGTGGACTGGGAAGCAGCGGTCTTAGGCTATCCCGGAGGAGTAAAGCTCCAGTAGAAGGAGTCAGAAAGAATCCACCAGACGGGAGAGGGGCGGTGGGAAGGGACGTAATCTTTGGCTCGCGGAATAACCAGGGGGTGGGAAGCCGAAAGAGAAAGAAACTTGTCAACGTACAGAAGTAAAGCAGGACTCTCGCACATTTTGTGGCTTTTTACTCTATATATGAAAGGAGGAGACAAAACATACAAAGATATATATATATACAACTAAAATTCAACAATATGTACAACGCGACTGTCGCCAGCTGAAAAACCATGGGAAGGGGATTATGGCGGGAATTTTAGCCTTTGGAACAGGTCGAATTTTTGTTATTTTCCCCAATTCTTCCTCCCGCTCTCCCCCGGAGGAATCCATTGGAAAGGATTCCTCCTGGAAGCCCCTTTAGAATAAATAAAGGTGGCGCAAACGCAGAGCTTTAGTTGGTTGCAATGGGGCATGCGCAAAAGAACTTCTGGTCAATTTCCAGGTGCTTTAATTCGCCAAGAGAAGCTTATTGACTACAGGAGGAAGAGAAGGCGGGGGAGGGGGGAAGAGATTGGGAAAGAAAAGATTTCCAGTTCTGACCAAGGTTCACCATTGTGCTGGCATGGGGGTTGAGGGGGGTGGGGTTGGTATAAAATATTCTTAAACCAGATTTCCCCCCTCTCCTCATCCTACCCTCCCTCCACTGCGCCCTCCTCTCTGGATGGCATTTCCTTCTTCCTAAAGGGGAAAAAAAAAAACCCTTCCTCTATCCATTTTGTTTTGTTAATTTGGGTTTGGTGAATAAAAAATAGGGTAGCTTTGTTAGCTTTTTTCATTCCACAGGAACTTTTTTTTTTAAGTTGCTGCATGGTGGACTAGCGGGGGAAAGGCTGTAATTGGTTTTGTTTTTTTCCCCATTCTGACTTGTACTCCCAATAAGGCTTGGTGCCTTTGAATCCCCAACAAAATATCCCAAAGAGGGCATCTGACGTGGGTCACAACGCAAATGGTTTCTCTCAGCTCAAGATCAATCGCTGAGGTTAAAGGCATAACCGCCCCAGTCCGTCTTCCTTGCCACGCGCTCCCAATTCACCCCAAGACCCACGAGCTGGCCCCGTCCGCCAAGCCCAGCAGTTGTTCTTGGACCGATTACATCATTTGTGGTCTCTGCATAGTGTCTTGATGTGGAGAGGAATACCAGTGAGAATAGCCAGGCATGTAGCTGTTGGGAGGCATGTTGACTCCTTTGGCAGAGGCTGAAACGTCCCAGACTGGAGGCAGACCTGGAGAACGTGGTGAGAGGGTAGCCGAGCCAGGCAGAGGGTCAGTCTCGTGGGGGTTGCTGCCTTGCTTGAGCAGTTTCTTAAACTTGGAACGCTTATTCTGGAACCAGATTTTCACCTGCAATCAAAGGGCAGAAGTCATCGAAATGCCTACAGAATAGCAGCTTCAGAGCAGCTTAAGAGGAGGGAAGAGGACAAAGGAAAGTCGCTCTGAAATTTCCTTTATTCCCTCCCCCGCTTCTTTATATCTGGAGCAATAAAGCACAACTATCCTGAATCATAAAATTCAATATCTTCCCACCCCTCCCCTCCCTCCCCATCCCTCATTCTCATTGCTGTAGTTACCTGCAACAAAGGAGCCTTAGGTAACTGAGTATTACATGTTATTTTACTGCATTTATTTTTAAGGGCCTTTTTCTTCTATGGGACCATTGCAGTGCACTCATTCACTCTGCTTGCTTATTTTGTAGGCATCTATTGAAAGCATCTACGCAGGTACGTAAGCTATAGACGTGCACAGCTGTGATAGTCATCAGTATACTATGCTGCATAATTAAAAACATGCAACACTCATTTTGAATAAGAGAAGAAGGGAAAGAATGCTCAGGGGTTTTTGTTTTGTTTTGTTTTGTTTTTGTACTCAGCAAAAGTGATTGTCTACAATCTTGATTCATATTTTAGTAGTGGCTTCCCATCTCAAATCCCCATCCTCCAGCACCTGAAACTGCCCTTAGCAGACTCTTTCACCTGGTCTGGTGCAGCTGGTTCTTCACTTACAGTGGGATGAGTGTGCAGTCCTAGAAACACATACTCAGCGGTTTCACTGGTCAGCTGGATCTATTCCTGAATAAATCTGCTTACGAAGGGGGTGCCACTTGGACTTGAAAGAGCTTTTAAGATCAGGTTCTAAAATGACTCTGGCAGCTGACTGGCTTCAGGGGGCCTAAATTGGCTTAAATCACAAATATGTCAGTATAGTTGGAAGTCCACCTTGGCTTATATAAGAAAAGTTACAGGAGAAATCAAAAACAGCCCCTGTGCAGCAGGTCCTTTGGTGGTCAGCAGGAAAGAGCTAGAAAAATGAGCCGATTTGAAGTTTAAGTGGAGATCGCTGGGTTGATTTGAGCGCTGTTAAAAAAAAAATCTAAGATGGGATAAGGGAGGAACTAAAAAAGTTAGAGAGACTTTAAAAGAAGAATATAATACATGGCAAAGTGTTTGTCATTCAAATGGGATAGCTGTTGGAACTCCCAGGAGTAAAACTGACAATATCCCTCTTTTCTCTGATAATATTAATTTTCTAGTATATTTTAACCTGTATGACAGAATACAAGTTCCTGTTTTACCGGGTCCGGGGTCGCAAAGTTTATGCTTATTACCTTAAGACATGGAATCTTAATTCTCTGTCTTTAATTCTCCGATTGACTTACATTCTTAACTGCAAGCCCTGGGCACATCTATGATTGATTCTCCCACCCTCCTGGCCAAAATGTAAATGCCACCAAAACTTTTTAAAAAAATATATATATATTTTTTGGAAACTTTTCTTGCCATCCGGGAATACAATTAATTGCTTTATTTTTCAATAATACTCCATATGTCATTCAGGCTTAAATTTGCAGAGAAACCAAGAACACATCAACCACATTTAACTGTAGCTTAACTTGTTCTAATTTTGTACACGCTTCCCTTTGATCCTTAGCCTCTATCAGCACCTTTTGTACATTTAGCCTGAGGGCACCCACTGGATTCTAGTTACTCATCCAGGATAATTTACTATTGAATATCACTAAAGTAGTTGTGCTTTATTTGGGCCCAGAGGCTCTTCAGCATATCCAGTACCTTTCTACTATCTCAAACTACGATGGAGAAGCTGTTCTACCCTTCCTACATCTAATACTTCGTATGCATGTGTGTATATATATATATATATATATATTATTTTATTTCTAAATCACTCTCTAATTTTTCCATCTTAGTGAATATTTTATAGTCAATATTTTGACTATAATAAAGTAGATACAAACACCCACAATTCCGAGCTGGTGGATATGCCTTTTTCTACATCTAAATACATTGTTTGCCTTGATCAGAGGCAAATGAAAAGTAGAGGGATAGCTGAACTAGACCTAGATCTCCAAATATCTCTATACAGATAACTGATAGCTCATCAACACACTTTAGATCATTGTTTAGGACATCCACTGTTCTCCAGTTTCTATTCTTAGTCCAATGAAATTATACATTAAGTGTGTGTGTGTGTGTGTGTGTGTGTGTGTGTGTGTGTGTATCTCATTTCTACGACCACCACCATGTCAGTCCTGACCTTATTTCCTAAAGATTGCCTAGACCTGGTCTTTCCTGGGAATTACCTGTGTCTGAGTAAGTCCTAATGAAGCCGCCAGCTCTGCTCTCTCTGGAAGTGCCAGGTATTGGGTCTGCTGGAAGCGGTGGTTTAATGCCTGCAGCTGCAGACTTGAGTAAATGGTTCGAGGTTTCCGGATCTTTTTCCCTTTCCCATTAAATCGAATCTCCCCATTTTCAATCACTGTGGTTTTTTGTTGATCTGCAATCAAAACGGAAAGTGCATTGGAAAGGAAGAGGGGCAGCTAAAGATACCTCATGCCTAGTTTAGGGTGCTGTTCATGCTAGGAGGGGAGATTAATAGTATCTATTGATAAAACTGCCCCAATATCATTGCTAAAACTGTATAAGCATTAGGGTGAGGGCAGGTAAATAAGGCAAGCAGACCATCAAATGCCCTTTTTAGTGGTGGATTCACTTTTACCTGCAAAATGACCTTAACTGGCTTTCCTGACATTTCCGCAGGCAAAAACTTATTACTTAATGGATGCTTAATAAAGCACTTAAGAGATTTTTCCCCTCAAGTAAATAAATATTGCAACTTGTGGGAATAATCCAGATGTCTTCATTCCAGGACAAATTCAAGAATTGCAACAGGAAGATAATTTTAATGAAACATTCATTTTAAATTAGTTTATAATTACTGTGGTTATCTAAATACCCCTCTAAACCACAGCTTTTATTTTGAATTAGCAGAAATAAACACACATCATCTGAACATTTCCTTTTACATGGTTAGCCTCATTTTTATACAAATGCAGTTTAATTTATTTCTCTCTCAGTGAATAAATTCAGAGAAATTGCGAGAACTGTTTGGACAGATAACCACAGTCAAAAATAGGAAGGAAACCTTTCATATTGACGCTATTGCTGATTTAGTCACTTTTATTGGTTTGTTAAAATATTTATTAGAGATTAGCTGAGTAGATGAATGGATAAAAATACATATCTAATTTGAAATTTTACAAGATTTTACAAGGATCAGGATGCATCCTCCATCTGCGGCAAGTCACCTAAAGATACTGAAGTCATTTGTGTCTGACACTCTAATCTTCCTTCCTTCCTTCCTTCCTTCCTTCCTTCCTTCCTTCCTTCCTTCCTTCCTATCTTCTTTCCTTATCCTTCCTTCCTTCCTTTTCCTTCCTTATTTCTCCTTCCTTCCTTCCTTCCTTCCTTCCTTCCTTCCTTCCTTCCTTCCTTCCTTCCTCTTCCTTCCTTCCTTCCTTCCTTCCT